TGTCATATTGTTACACTGTTTTCACATTGTTATACAGATTGATTATTGCCACTCAAGCTTTATTTTTTTTGTAAGAATGTGAAACTGCTGACAGTGGCATTCAACGCTAGTGCAGATATATATGAAAAGTGACTGATTTAAATAATTTACAGTCGAATAATGTGCTATTTTGATATTTTTGCAAAGTGAGCCCATCCAGATTTCTGTCTCTGACTTCAGACTTGACAAATACCTAGTTTACGGAATTTCTTTCACTAATCTGTAATATTAATAACACTATAACGAACCTCAGTAAACATAGACACTCTAGAAAGAGCTCAAAGGCCAGCATTAGTGACTTAATGCACAGTGAATGCTATGTGCTTGTGTGTGTCACCGAGAGGTCGCTGGTCTGGCCACACAACACACAGAGACTGTGGTTGAGTCTTAATGACATGAGAGGAGTCCTGTGATTACACCTCAACTCTCTAAGCTGAGCAGTATGGATGCACATGCTTACTCTCCCCTCATCTTAACAAGTGTGAATGCTCTGCTTTGTGTGTGTTGCACTGCTTCTCACCTTTTAAGGAAATACGTAAAGGAAAACTGTGGTGTATTAAGGAATATTTTACCTGCAAAATAAACATTTATAAATCATTTACTCACTGTGTGTTACCTTGTTTTTGTGAAGAAAATTTTGTTTCTCTTGCATGCCTCCACGGTGAATGGAGAATCCAAAAGAGGCAATCATCATTCATGGATTAAAGTAGGAAGGCATTAAACAACAGAAGAAATCATAATCAAAACACTAGTTTACAAACTCTCACACAACTTGTGCAGTGTAATAAAAGTCTCATTTATCCAGTTGTATGCTTAGTACTTGGCAAATACATGCATTTTCACTAAAATGTTACAATTAAAAACATGTCAGTACAAGCAGTCTCGTGCATGGCCGAGTTGCATGTCTGAGCGTGTGCGTTCAGGCACGCTCAGAGCGCCCTGCTCATAGGCATAAGTGTTTTACTGAAAATTAGGGATGCATGATATTGGTTTTTGCTGATATGCCTAAATGTAACAATTCATTTCACTGATATCAATACATCCACTTTTTCCCCCACCTAATTTTAGGGTTAGGACATCTCTTCTGTAGTGGAATCAACATTATTTTCTACATGCATACTCTTATCATGATGGCCCACCAGCAGATGGAGACATGAAATACAATACTTTTCAATGTATGTAATGTTCATTCACTGTGCAAAATAAGAAAATAAAAAATATATGTTGGCCGATTCTGATTCATTTTAAAGCTAATATCGGCAGATACCGATAATGTGTCAATATTATTGTGCATCCCTAATGAAAATGCATGCGTTTGGGAAGTACTGAACATGCAACTGGATAAATGAGACTTGAATTATTTTTTCATGAGTTCTGCAAGAGTTTGTAAATTGTTGTTTTGATGTAGTTTTGCTGCTGTTACGTGGTCCCCACTGACTTAATGAAGAATTTTCACCTTCTTGGAATCTCTGTTTACCATGGAGGCATGAAAAAGAAACAAAGTTTTCTTCACAGATTCAAGGTAACATCCAGTGATTAATTAATATATAAATGGTCATTTTGTGGTGAAGTATTCCTTTACAACTTATCTTTGTAACTTTGGCCTTTGGCTCTTGTGGTTATGATAACATTGTATAGGGTTGGGGTGATTCATTGACATAATCAACATCATAGATTGCTACACAACTGTAGCGCACAGACACTGGTGAAAGCATCCCAGAGCGCTTTGTTAAGACAGCAGCAGAAAACTCCATTCTGTTAACTTTTTGTCCCCACCCAAGCATGTTGTGTATGGATTATCAACACACTGAACGCTTTTCTGTCAGCAGTAGTCACTAAACCTTTTTTTAGCACCTTACTTTAACGGGCCTGCACGAGCAACAAAACAGCTTAAACTAACATTACAGACTGTTATTACTGTCTATGACTTCTGTTACAGAAGTGTTACTGCAATGCTTTTGCATTTGAAGTCCATTACTCTCTGAGCAGGTATCTGACACATAGGGCCTATTATTATCATGAATGTTATCATAACACAGTTAGACTCATTTTGAAATATGCCGCTATTGTCACTGTCTTTAAGAGAACAGGATTGGATAAAATATTTTAATATGTATGAGGCAAGCTTTTGTGTTTGGGTTATTTAGGTGTTATATTAATCGAGTAATAAAAAATAATGTTTAGAATAATCCGTAAATTAGTCATTAGGTTTATAGACTAATCAAAAAAAATAATAGATTAATTGATAAAAAAAAAAAGTCATTGGGTGAAGCCCTACATTGTACCCATTGAGTACATTTCTGAAATCTTGTAATGCAACAGCGTCAGATGGATGATCAGATACTAAAAAGAGCTCTAGCAATTAAACAGGTTGTAAACCAGCTGTAAAAGTGTCCTTTGTAGAGTAGTGAAACAGTTTATCCTCAAAGAATAGTTCATATGACATCCTAAGAAAATGCACGCATAATGAGATGATATCCTATAAATTAGTACCTCATGAATGATGTTACGTCTTTAATGTAAAGTTGTGTAAATAAAGTTACTGTGGTTTGGTTTGGGAAAAAGAACATGGTGACGACATACCTTAAAAGTTCCCATGGGTCCGGATGCGCGTCTCAGAGGGAGAGTCCTGGGGTAAAGTCCATGGTTTTGTGACCTACCACCCCAATCTGCGTGCCTAGTCCTCGATCCCACAGAAATTGTTTGCAGGTTACAAAATTCAGGGAGCACCACACCTTTTTTAATTAAATGCCACTAGTAGAAAATTGCTTGCTGCGCCTTTTTATTGTTGCCAGGCAACCATGCCATCACCTCTGTACCCTAACCTTCCTGTGTAATCAATCTGCCGTATATTGATTTATATTTTTTAAATTTATTTATTTTATATTAATATGTAGCTAGTTACTAAACTGGACAGGCAGAGGGTATTTGCTGTAGCTCTGGTTGAGGCTGAGATGCTGTCAGTAAATGTTGGGCACAGGGAAACGTGTGTGAAAAATGTGAAATCTGTGTGGGTACATGAGACCCTAAAAAAGAGGGTGGATCATGGGGAGAACAACCAGTTTCTCCTCCATTGTTTACCAACTGTAAACTTGTGGACCCCACAGAAGGCCTGCCTCTCACATCATGTGAGCAGAAAAAAGCAGAGATGACGTGGGGTGCTTTTTTGCTCTGAGTTGAAGTTTTCTTTCTACTTGAGGAGTTCAGAGCACTCCGTGTGCCTAGAGCACAGAAATGCAAGGCATGTAGCAACACAAAATAAGTGAGCAAAAAGCTTAATTTTCATTAAAAATGATTCCAGAAAGTCACCTCCAGCTGCTAAAACACTTTCTGTGTGATTGAGATTGCTTTCTGTGTATTCCCATCAGCACATTGGTCAGCCTTCCAAAATTTATGTGTTATTCACAAATTACTGGCTCATGATTACAAGGGATATGTATGAATTTTGGTGCATTGCTGTTTGTAATAAAACATGTAAAGGGTTTATGAGAACAACCTGAGTGAAACTTTTTTGATCCTACATTTGGATAAACAATAGAAAAAAGAATCATGCTCTCCAAATGTTGTAAAAATGTGGTAATTTTAATTTCAGCAACACTCATTTAATAATAATAAGCATTGCACTTAAGTATGTAACTGACAAATATTTGTTGGATTAAAGCATGTAACAGTGGTCATGATGATAAAACCCAGAATCATACAAAGCATGTTATGTCAGCTTTGCTGACTGTGATGAATTGGTTTCACAGAGAGATTTAGATGCAAATTTGAGAAAATACTGCAGGTAGCAGCTATGGATGACTGTGGATGACATCTCAGCTTTCACTTTGGAACTATAATTGTATACCCCTCCTCCTGTGACCCACCCACTCCTTCTCATGGTATGTCACGTTGCAGTGGTTGGTTTTTGTAACACAAAACCCCACTGGATGCCCTGACTCCAGCCCCGACCTCAATCCACCCTTTGTGTTTGCAGCTTGCAGGAAATGTGTGTGTAGTGTGTGTATGTGTGTGCTCTCAACAAAGCAAGCGGACACTGTTCCCATACAAAGGCAAGTGGCTAAGATCATTCAGGACCCAGAAACCAAAAGAGAGAGAGATTTAATATGATCTACTGAGAAGAGACACATGGACACATTCACATAGTGCAGAGCGTATATGTCCACACACAGCATCCATTGCACTCTGTCACAGATGTGTCATTCCTACCTTTAGTCTTGTAACTGTCATAACTGTTAAACATCGTGGATACTACGGTTAATGAAGTATAGCTGCCAGCACATGCAAACCAAAAATGATCTGTGTGGTTTTATATTTTCTGTTTAGTTTTATAATTTGATAGATTGTTGTGTCCAGACATTGTCAATTAAACAGTCAAGTTGATAAAGGAGTTGAATTTAAGAAAGAGAAAATAAGGGTTGTAAAGGTTTGTGTATTTGCGACAAAGATGAATGAAATGAAATGAAATGAAACATATCCTCATGCATTTGGGATTTTTTTTCCCGATGTACTAGACTTAACTGAACCTTGATTCCTAAACTGGGGTTCGAACTGAACCGTGACTTCTGTGTACCGTTGCCCCCTAGAAGTGACTGATTACACAAACTTGTCCAAAGCAGCGCTGTGCACCTTTACCAAGGCACAATAACATCTGTGTCCAGGTGGAAAGATAAAGGTGCACCGAGCTGCTGCAGAGACAGATAATATGAAAAAAAGTTGAGATTACAGATGCACCGAATTAAGGTCTTCAAAAAATAGAGCAGAATATTCAACTATTTGGATATTCAATTATAGGGTAATCTGTTTTCAATTGAGGAATTCAGATGTACCAGCTCAGTGCTGGATGTCAGCTGTTGCTGCTGCTGTGTTAGCTCGTGTTAATCATGCACACACTGAACTGACTGCATGCATTACACAGTAATTTTCCTTTAAACAACTTGTATTCTTTCTTCCCCCTGCAGCGCTGAAGAGATCCTTTGACATTGAAGATGTGGATGACCTACCATCCTTCTCCTCAGCAACACCCATCTCCTCCCCAGTTTCTCCCTCTTCCTCCCATTTCTTCCTCAACCACAACAAAGCCAGTGAAGGGCTGGGTGGAGGTGGCCAGTCCCCTTCATTAGCCTTTAACAACAACAACAACAGCTTGGGCTCCACAGCCCACCATTCCCGCATCAGCCTAAGTTCCAATCCTAGCCCAGTGCTCAAGTCCCGAAGTGTGGTCAGCAGCCTGTCCTTCAACCGAGGAACCATGAACAAGTCGGCCATCTACAACAATGGCTCCTCTGTGACCAGAGCTGCATCCTTCCAGAGCAGGTTAAACCCCAACAGTTACTCCATTTTGTCTGGGCCAGGCAGTGACAACGACAGCCTTCACAGCTCCACGTCAAGCCTGGAGTACTCTGGTGGGGGTGGAGGTGCCCTCCCTCTCACTAAGCTGGGGTCATATCACAGCCCTCCACCTCAGGGGGACTACCACCGAACCCAGCCCCAGCCTCCACACCAGCACCGAGAAGGAAGTGCTCACATGGGAAGCAACCCCAACCTGAAGAAGTTTTCCTCACATGGGAGTGTTTTCCCCTCTGAGATGGAGCAGGGGCCAGGGCTGATGCTGGGTGCTCCAGAGCCTTGGGGGGCTAACCATGGCTCCATGCCAAGCCTAGACCTCCAAATTACTGATGGAGGAGGAGGAATGGTGAGTATGCAAAGAGGTGGAGGTGGAGGAGGGGGTATCAGCAGGATGTCTCCAGGGTTGAGGTATGCCAACTGGAATGGTCGTCTTCATAATACAGATTCCTTTGGGGAGGAGGGTTACTGTGGCCCCCAAAACCACTGCCAGCAGCAAGGGCCCCAGGTCCTCAAGGCTCCCCAGCCCAAGACCAAAGAGACTTCACGTCTCAACAAGTTTCCCTTGGATCTGGACAGCTTGGTTAGCAGCACCTCAGGCACTTCTCCCACTAAGGCTCAAGGAGGATCCATGAGCCCCACCCCCCCCAAACCTCCACCAAGGAGCACCGGAAGCCTACAACACCACGCCAGCCCACCATCCACCCTGGCCAGCCCTTCAGCCTCTCTCAGCAGCCTGGATAGTTCCTCTGACACCATGCCCCTCTCCCTCCACCATCCCTTTCTGCCACTCTCCCCACGCACTCCAACTCCCTCACAGGGTTCAATCCCTGTCCCAGAGATGAGCTGCTCCTCAGGGCCCCTTTCCCCAGCCCAGAGCCCCCAGCTGGAGATTCTCCCAGGGCCCCAAGTTGTCCAGGTGGTTCCCAGCCTGCCTAACCCTACCAGCCCCCGTAGCCCCAGAGCCGTTTGGTCTGTAAAGGATGGCCCAGGTGATGCAGGAGATAGTGTAGGCTCAATCTTACAGAGGATTGCTTCCTTCTCCCAGAATGTCAGTACTGACACCACCCCAGCAGCTGTGACACAGCCCCCTACAGTCCAAAGAAATGGTGGGGTGTCATCTGCTTATGGATGTCCTGCTGAGACCATGGTGATGCACACATGGAAGCAGGGGAAGAAGAACCAGAAAGGTAAGATGGTGTTTGGAAAGTGCTTAAAAAGTTGCATTTTGCTATAATTATAACTGCAAATAACTGCATGCACATTTGTCTGTGCTGTGAAATGCTGCTCATAGAAAACCTCCATCTGTCTTCACATGAAGCAGAAAGAGTTCTTGGTGCTTGGAAACTCTGTGAGCCCATTTAAAGCTTGGTATATATATATATAAAATATATATAAAATATATAAAAACCAAACGCTAATTTGCTTGTAACACAATTCCAGGTTTCCATTTGTGAGCTGGTGTGTGCGCATGTGTGGGTGTGTGCGCATGTGTGTGTACAAAGATCAGTTTTTGTTTTCATATCAACAAAGGAAGACAAGTCAAGGTTAGCAGATGAGCCTAGCAGCCACACCCGTCGTAATGGTTTCCTGTTGTATTGAGCTTCATCACACACATGCATGCACACACGTTTTAAATTTATTTTTTGGCTTACACCACCATACCTACACTATTTTCCATATTTTCATTTTGTTCAAATCTCCTTGTACTTTTCCACGAACTTTTCTTCAGTCACACACATTCACAAGTTGAGTGTCTTTGTGTTTAAAGTTTGTCTGGAATTTTGAACAGGGGTTTTAAAGCTATTTTTAGTCCATCTCCTCCCAGTTGGCCTTTGGCTCCTGCTTCCTCTGATAACAAAGTGAACTCCTCTGTGTCTCAGCACCACATTTACTTAAAACACATCATAGTGAACACACACACAGTCAAGACACAAAACCAAGATATTTGATAAACAGAATCTTCCTTGTTCATTAGTGTATCTGCTTTGTTGGACAGTTTATAGTTGGTAGTGATGTGGGAGATGGGAGGTCAGAGGATAATCACAACTGTGTCAACTAAACTACAGCTTGTTCATTATCAAAGATTTATGCCACAGTGTGATTTTGATAATGCATAAGTTCTGGTAAGTTTAGCCACAACTGTGTAATTTTTCTCCTTTGATTCATATTAAATACAACTTTGACTAGTCATAGGGTTGAAGGTTTGATCCCCAGCTCCTCCTGTCCGTATATCGCAGTGTCAAATTGTTCCTCCAAATGCCTTAACTATTTTAACTTTATCCATGCACATCATTTGTCGACTATAACACCAGTTAGATGGATTAATGGGATGTTCTGCCTTGTTCTAGTCCTACCTTGATTAAGTCTGATAAGATGCCTGTTTCCACGAGAATCTTGTCCGGTGCAGATTCAAAACCTCAGCTGAACTGTTTAACAAACAGGAGGCATCTGTTTCAAGGCGCCTCATGGGATTTTCCCCTTACCTCCTCCAATCTCGTCAGGGAATTAGTCCAGTACCTCTGAGCTGAAATAGAGAAGACAGAACATCTAACTGTACTCAAAGCTTCGTTCTCAATTTACATTTTAACTCTGACTGAGAATTTGTGTGCATTTTGCATGGTATGTCCTACAAAAACTCCCGCTGTCATACTAACATGCTATTTTAAGCAGACTGGTTCAGAGTCCTGCACCGGTCCATCTCTGAAAACCTGCACCCTCCCATACGTAAAGCTCTGTACCAGAACCAATCTGTCACCCATCTTTATGTCTAAGTCAAAGCACCTATTGATAAAAGTTCCATGACCAGACCTGTACCCATGATTAAACACACACACTACAGTTACTCACATTAAGCTGAGTTCTCTGTTCTTTAATTACAAATCCAGCGGAGGAAAAGTATCTTTCACTGGCTGCGCTCAATGCGGGAAGGTGAAAACATTCCACGCAACCACTGCCAGGTTAGGAAACATTTTAGCATGCTCCTTCCACCACCATAAAACCTCAAACTGATCCTCCTTGGATGTCTTGAACTCGATGTAGGCTGCCACCTTATGCTTGGGCTGCAAAGTTCCATCGCTGGAATCCTCCATGTCGGTGACAAATGTGACAACAGGGTCAGAGGCTTGATAATAGTGATTTAAATGTCAAAATATTACACATATACTGCGCATCTTTTTCCATTTGGTTTATTCTGAAAAATAAAAAAAAACATTTTCAAGTGGCAAAGAGAACTTTTTAATATTTTAAGATTTTTAAAACTTAAATGTGATTCTAAAGGGAGGAAAGACTCACAAGAAAACAGCACTGGTATTCACCTTATTCCTAGCCCTATAATACCTTGTGTGAATTATGAGCAGAACTTCTACTTAATTCCATTCAGCTGACATCTGCCACAGGTATTGGTATGCTACAGGTGTCTAGCCTTTTCTTAAATATTTCCCCTTTTTTATTTTTGGAAAATGGATGACAGCCGGACAGCCAGTCAGTTTGACATTAAACTAGTGTTTTCAAAACAGAAAAACTTCCACCTTTACAAAGGCTGAATAAATTTTGCCACTGCAGTGATGGCAGCATCAGGAACATGGCAGATTTGTCTCTAAGCAGACATGAAGAATTTCACTGGTCTCACATCATTAAGGTGTAAGGTATATAAACTCATCATAATGCACTTTGGCTCACAGGCTCACTTTGCAGTGAAGAGACGGGTCTCCACTCATTCAAAGAGCGCGTCTGCTGTCAAATATTTGTTGCACATATAATACAACTTCCACTCTCTAATTTATATTCAAAGAAATATCTTCTTGTGCATGTGGGGCAGTTTATTGCACATCTAAATATAAGTTGGTGTCTGATGTAAGAGGTGAATTCACACTGCTGTGGTTGGCAAGATGAGCCTGAATGGAGTGCTCTGTCACACTCTGAGTTGAAAAAAACTGGAACAAAAGAAACCCACAAATATGTTTTCTTTATTGAGAAAGACTTATAAGTCATAGACTCAAAATTATCTTAGTTTAATGTCATTTCAATGTATTATGTTTGTTTTCTTTATAACAAGCATAACAAAAAAATGCTAGTAGTATGTTGATGTCTCAGTAGCTAACTGGCTAGCTGGTTAATGTTACATTGAAGAAGAAAGAAGAAGTAGAAGATATACCTTATTAATCCCCGAGGGGAAATTCCTTTTTTTTTTCACTGTTGTCATGTAGACACAGGCCAAAAATACACACACATGCACAAATAGAACCTACACATGTGTTAAATGAAGAGATGTCAGAGTGATGGGTCTGCCCTGGACAAGGGCCCTGAGCAGTTGGCGGTTCAGTGCCTTGCTGAGGGGCACCAGGAGGCAGGCTGGCACCTCTCCAGCTACCAGTCTATGCTTCATGCTTGGTCCGTATGAGGACTTGAAGCGATGCCCTCTGGTTCCCAAGTCAAGTCCCTATGAGCTTCTGCTGCCCCAAAAGCTGGTTCCCATACCAAGAGTTGCACCCAAGGCCCCTGGCTGAAAACCAGGAAACCATAATTGCTACACTTTATGGGAGTTGCTATAATTACTGTTGATTGATGCATGACACAGACACATTTTGGTGTTTTTTTCACATCCCATTCCCCCTTTGATGGCATGTGATGCCCAAAATGTAACTTAAACCCTATGGGGTCTAGGGGGTAATTGGCCGTTTTTGACTAGTTTTCATTTTACCTTTAAATTTCACCTTAAAAAAACTGTTTACCTTGCCTTGTTTGGTATCATTCTTTTCAGCACAACCTCACCTGTGTGACTTTACAGTTATTTTTTCATTTTGACATACTGTATTAACACACTGGACCTAAAATCACATAAAAAACATAAAATCCGAGTAGGAAAAAGTTAGATTTTTTACTGTGAAAACCACAAACATGTCTAACGAACCATTTGTGTAACTTAGAATAAAAATATAAATTGTAAACTTCAAAAACATATGTCCTAATTTAGCAAACAACAACGTTATATATAACTATTTACATTAAAATGCAAGCAATGCCTCAGGCGTTTTTTGAACAACTATTTACAAAACAATCAGATGTCACACAAATTATTTGTCAAAGGAAAAAATGCCAGCACTCACAAATGTCCTTTTGGTAAATTTAATAAACCAACTTGGGTGGCAGTACCAGAAACACAGACATTTTGACAGAAAGTCTTTTTCATAGAAGAAGACTTTCTGTCAAAATGTCTGTGTTTGTCGCTGTTTTTGGCTATGCACCTTTCTAGGGGATTTATTTTGAGAGTGCTTGCTTTTCTCCTACGTGATTTTACACAAATTATTTGTGCCACTCTGAAAAACAGTTCCTGTCCACCACAACACACTACAGGAGGAGGACACAACAGTAGGACAACAGGAGGAGTGACACACACTGTGTGGCTCTGCTGCCTGAGCAAACGGAGATCCGGACCTGGTGGGCGTGCCCTGCAACACCGTCCGCTCCTCTGTGCGGACCTCCGAGTACCGCTCAATGCGGTCGTTGGAGGCTCATTTTCCTCTCTCCTCTTCCAAAACACACTACACCACACACTAAGTATACACTCCAAACACGCTAAACGTCACAAATCCCAACTCTATCTGTGATCGCGATCGCGGTCTCTCTCGCTGCCGTCACTCCCACAACTTCCCCCTCTTCCCCAGGAACAAATGATGTGTGTTGACATACAATTTTGTGATTGGTCGACGTGGTGTATATTAATTATCATAAGTCCGGTTTTATATGGCCTATCAAGACGATTTAAAAAGTGGTACAAAGTTTGAAGTTTGCATTTTCCACACAAAATGAAACGGAGACTCAGGGAGGCTGCGTGTTGCTGCTACATCGTCTCAAATCGGTCACGTGATTTTGACACGCCGGCGCGGTTCTGGACCACAGAGGGTTAAGTCCAGCAGCAAAGTTGTTTTTTTTTTTTTTTTTTTTTTTTTTTTAAAGATTATTTTTTCAGGCTTTTGCCTTTAATGAACAGGACAGAATTGGGGGGGAAGGGGGGGGGCGATGACCAGCAGCAAATGGTTGCAAGCCAGAGTCAAACCTGTGACCACTGCAGCAAGGCATCGCCTCTGTACAAGGCACTATCCACTACGCTACCGACGCCCCTGTTGCTGCACTTGTTGAGCAGACTACAGAGTACTGCTAGTGGCCTGGTAATGAAGCAGTGTTTTAA